CATCATACCAAATGGACTGAAGGTGAAAAATCCATTGCTATCTACATACTGCACACACCACAGTGAGAGATTATGCCAGACACTATCAAAGAAACTGAGAAACCACCTGATCAGCATCCTATACAGCAAACAGGAAAACATCAAAAAAGAGCTCTCCAACCTGGAGACTTTCATAAATAACCAACCTTCCACACAAACGGACTTTACTAAAATAAGACAGAAGATCTACTTTACACACTTCACCTCTCTACAAAGGAAAAAGGACCGTAAGCTGTCTAAAATCCTACCTGCCACATGGAGCCACAACAGTGGTACCCCTAACTCACCCAGCAATATCGTCAATTTATCCAGCTACACACTCAACCAGACAGAAGAGTCTGTTTATCTCGGGGACTCTCTTTTTGCCCCACCACCCCCACGAACATGATACAGTTCTGCGGTGATCTGGAAGCCTACTTTCGCCACCTCCGACTCAAAGAATACTTTCAAGATAATACTAAACAGCGCACTGATACACAGATACCCCCCCCACCAACAGCACAAAAAGAACTCCACATGGACTCCTCCTGAGGGTCGAAATGACATTCTGGACCTATACAGAGAAAGCTTCCGCCGACATGCACAGGCAGAAATTCTGGAAAAACAACATCGCTTGCCTCATAACCTAAGTCGTGCAGAACGCAATGCCATCCACAGCCTCAGAAACAACCCTGGCATTATAATCAAAGAGGTTGTCATCATGAACAGGGGTGCAGTTGTCATCATGAACAGGTCTGACTACCAAAAGGAGGCTGCCAGACAACTTTCCAATACCAAATTCTACAGGCCACTTTCCTCAGATCCCACCGAGGAATATACTAAGAAACTGCACCATCTACTCAGGACACTCCCTACACTAACACAGGAAGGAAAATTTCCACCACATGCATCTGATGAAGTGGGTATTCACCCACGAAAGCTTATGCTCCAATACTTCTGCTAGTCTATAAGGTGCCACAGGACTCTTTGTCGCTTTTTACACTCAATGAAAGACTTTCAAACTACGCTCCAAACCCTGGGCATCTGTACGTCCCTTAACAGATGTAGGAGATATCAACCTTATCAGTGCAATAGACACAACTGGACAGAGACAACAGAGGCCTTATGATAGTCAAAGACAAAGGCACAGATCACAAAGACATCACCTTACCCAGTCCCAGACTGCGACATCCCAATCACCTTCAAATAAGACGCAATTTTGAAACGTTGGTCGAGGATCTGACCGACCGCCCCCGACCACCAGCGCCAATAGAACCAATAATCCAAGTTTTTGGTCATTGACTCTGACCGTTCTACCATATATGGGCCACCATCACTACGAACCACTGGGTTTTGGAGATCATTCGAACAGATTATACCATCCCCTTTACCTTTATCCCACCTACCCACCCGCCTGCCCCATCCCTCTTCAGGGAACCTTCTCATGAGCACCTATTGAGACAAGAAGTAGATCACCTTCTACAATTAGGGGCCATGGAACAAGTTCCAACACAACACAGAGGGAAAGGATTTTACTCCCATTATTTCCTGACTCAAAAGAAAAACGGAGGTTGGAGACCCATACTAGATCTCAGAAAACTCAACAAATTTGTCCACACACACAGATTCAAAATGGTCACAGTGAACTCGATCATCCCAGCTATGGAAGAGGGGGACTGATTCTCAGCCTTTGACATACAAGATGCTTACTTTCACATTACCATCCATACTGCTCACAGACAATTCCTACAATTCACAGTGGGACAAGATCACTTCCAATACAGAGTACTGCCATTTGGACCGTTAACAGTTCCACGGGTCTTTACCAAAACCCTAGAGGTGGTAGCTGCTCATCTATGCCAACAGGGAATACTGGTATTCCTATACTTAGATGATTGCCTACTAAAAGGTTCTACCAGGATGGAAACACTACACATGACTTGACAAACCATCTCTCTATTTCACTCCCTAGGGCTACAAATCAACGAAAAGAAATCTACCCTAACTCCAGTACAACAACTGGACTTCATAGGAGTGCACCTGGACTCAGTAGAGGCCAAAGCATTGCTACCGATGCCCCAATTCACAGCGCTGACCTCCGTCATATCGGTGATCTCAGATAGCCTGTATAGGTGTCTGTATGCACCTGCTGACAACTCCTGGGATATATGGCGGCCACCACTTTCATTGTAAAACATTCCAGACTACACCTGCATTGCTTTCACGAAAGCACAACCTACACAAAAGACTCACGCCAACCCCAGAGGTCCTACATTCACTACGACGGTGGACAAACCTAATAAACGTGTGCTCAGGCATCCCGTTTCAGCAGGTACAAATCACAACAGATGCCTCACTGGTCAGATGGGGAGCTCACCTAAACCAATATACAACCCAAGGCAAGTGGTCCCCCCACAGAAACACACTTACACATCAACCTGCTCGAATTATGCATGGTTCGCAACACATACCAACATTTCCTCCCCATTATACGCCAACAGATAACGTTGCATGTATGTTCTATATAAACCGCCAGGGCGGGGCACATTCCCATTCCTTATGCACGGAGGCCTTAAAACTATGGAACTGGTGCATAAAACACAACATCTCTGTTACAGCAGCATACCTCCCAGGCTGACTGAACATGATGGTGGACACATTAAGCAGATGGTTTTCCCAAGAGCTTGAATGGGAACTGAACAACAAAATAATCCAACACATATTTCACATGTGGGGGTCACCACACATAGATCTGTTCGTGACATCAGTAAACAAGAAATGCCCAAAGTTTTGCTCACGAGCAGGACTTGGAGCACGATCCTTGGGGACGCTTTCCTCATCAAATGGAGTGCTCCTCTTCTATACGCATTTCCACTGATACCTCAGATCTCCAGAGTGATGCACAAAATACGAACAGACAGAGGCAAAATAATACTCATAGTACTGACATGGCCCAGACAGACTTGGTTCCCTTACCTGTCGCGCATGGCGATCTGCAAACTGTTCACTTTTCCTCGCCTATGGACTCTTCTCTCTCAGGACATCGGTCAAGTCCTCCATCTGGACCTGAAGAGACTTCACCTAAAGGCATGGCTCCACCCCAACGAACTAACCTGCTCAGAATAGGTAAAACAAGTGTTAATAAACAGCAGGAAATACAGCACACGCACTATCTACCTCCAAAAATGTAAAAGATTCTTTCTGTGGTGCCAAAACAAACAGATAGCTTCAAGGCGGGCACCACTTCCAGTAATCATGGATTATTTATTATCCCTAAAGAACTCAGAGCTTGCTATGAGCTCGCCTTGTGGCCATCACGGCCTTCCATAAACAAGTAGATGGAACATTGATATTCACCCACCCGATTACTAAATGATTCCTAACGGGCATACAGAATATGTATCCAGACATCCAAGAACCCATACCCACATGGGACTTAAATCTGGTTCTCAAAAGTCTAACCAGAGCCTCTTTTGAACCCTTAGCCACATGCTCATTACTTCATTTATCTATGAAAATGGCATTCCTGGTCGCCATTACATCGGAACAAAGAGTTAGTGAAATAGGGGTTCTCATGGCTCACCCTCATTCACAATATTCTTCAAGGATCACACTTAGAACACATCCTAAGTTTATGCCCAAAATATCATCTTCATTCCATCTCAACCAACAAATTCACTTACATACGTTCCACCCAAAACCACACACTAATGCTCAAGAGGCAATCCTGCACACACTGGATGTGCGCCGGGCCTTGGCCTTTTACCTAGACAGAACGAAGCCATTCCGTAAATCTTTTAGACTCGTTGTGTCAACAACAGAACGATCAAAAGGCTCTGCCGTATGACTCAAAGATTATCCAAATGGATATCCAGCTGTATCCATACATGCTATTCACTACATACAACTGAAGCCCCTCTGGGCATCAGAGCCCACTCGACAAGAGCTTTAGCTACCTCCACAGCATTTCTACACAATGTTCCCATTCTAGACATCTGTAGGGTAGCCACCTGGGCCTCTGAACACACATTCATGAACCACTGTGCAGTCACACTTGGTTCCAGCTTGGATACCCGACTAGGCCTCACTGTACTAGCCTCAGCAATTGACTCCACTCCGAAGTCCCTTCCATCCTCATGAGGGCACTGCTCTACATTCATCTGAAGTGGCGCACCCACAGCACTCGAAGAAGAAGAGAGGGTTCGTCACCTTATGCAGTAACTGAGGTTCTTCGAGATGTGTGTCCTTCTGGGTGCTCCACTACCCATCCTCCTCCCCTCTACTTCGGAGTTTGCAGTAAGGACTCTACAGTAGAGCAGGAACTGAGGGGTTAGGACAGGCAAGTGCTAGTTGAATCGCCAACGGCACCATGAGACGGTTACTGCGCACACACGTCCCAACCAGGCACTGGTACTGAAAATCTCCGATCAGCAGCGCCGGGATGCACCTGAAGTGGAGCACCCACAGGGACACACATCTGGAAGAACCTCAGTTACTGCACAAGGTGAGTAACCCTCTCTTTTGAATTTCCATGATATTATAGTTAACATGTTTCATGTCTTAGGAGTTAAGTTGTGTACAGTATTATAATTCAAGTAAGTGGAAATTCTGAGCATGACTTTGCCCATAGAAAATAAAGGGAACGCTTTTTATGAAGACAAGGTCATGACACTGAAGGACTAAGTAAAAGAAAGAAACAACTAGGTTAATAATTTAATCTGTTCCATTTTATCTGTCAATTTGAGCTGTGCTAAACCGGATGCATGTGATATTTAAGCATTATAGTTGGAATTGCAATTAATCAGAGATTTCTTTATGATATTGTTAATTGCATTCTAGCATGCATCAGAAACATTTGTATGTTTTTAGGGGATACAATAACCTATTTTATTTATTTAATTTATTTTTTTAGGAATATTAGCCCCAGGTATTGTGGAAATCACCTACTTTTCTAATTTCTTCTGCTTCTGATACTGCTGCCTTCCTAAAAATGTTTTCAGGAAAATGCATTTACCGCAGAAGCAGTCATTTTACCTTTTAATTTCTTTTAAGTACTATTACTGTGCTAACTATGTGATTTTTTTTTTCATCTTAGAAATCAGTAGCTGTTGCAATGCAACAGTTATGTTTGCAGCCTTGGGCATCTCAGATAGAAAAAGTTTTACAGTTTCACAATCAAATTCTGGTAAGTACAGCAGAACATTCGTTAATATGACAAATGCCTTGAATTTGAGGTACAAGTGCAGAGATTCTTTGAAGATTTGTGACAGTATCCAAAAGATCCTAATATAATCACATGCCTATTGAGAACTACAAAATTGATATTGTAGTAGAAAGAAAAAAATATTTTTCAGAACAAAATCAAATTCATATCAGAATTCTAAACTTGCACACATGCTAAATCATTGAAATTTTTTTCTAATAGTCTATCATTTTAGGGATAAGCTCCAATGCCACTTAGAAATGAGCTGATCTTTGCAAATGTGTTTTCAGGCTCGGGTTGGTGTGATGTTAGTAGGCCCTACAGGTGGAGGGAAGACAACTGTTAGAACAATTTTAGAAAAAGCCTTGGTAATTTTACCAACTTTATGTTTGGAAAAAATTTCAAAAAATGATGCTGTTTTGCAGGTAAGATATTTGAATATCTGCCTTTATATGTTAGTTTTAAGCTGCTGGTTTTAGTTTAATTTTTAATGTTGAAGGGCATTTATTTTAAAGCCTGGTTCATAATTCTGCATAGATCATAATTTTTCCAGCAAACTAATTTATCAGTAAAGATCCGTATTTGTTTCTCTTTTTAAATTGAGTGCTTTGGGAAAGTAATACGTTAATATTCTGGGGAGAGTATTTTGAAAAGTGCCCAAGAAAGTTTGATGCCCAGCTCCCATTGAAAGTCAGTAGGAGTTGGATGCCTTAAGTCTCTTAGGCACTTTTGAAAATTGCACTCTGAAGTGTGAGGGTGGGAAGACCAAGTTTCCTCACTATACTCAATCTTTGAGCCTCAGGCCTGGTCCACACTAACCCCCCACTTCGAACTAAGGTACGCAAATTCAGCTACGTTAATAACGTAGCTGAATTCGAAGTACCTTAGTTCGAACTTACCGCGGGTCCAGACGCGGCAGGCAGGCTCCCCTGTCGATGCCGCGTACTCCTCTCGCCGAGCTGGAGTACCGGCGGCGACGGCGAGCACTTCCGGGATCGATCCCAGAAGATCGATTGCTTACCGCCGGACCCAGAGGTAAGTGTAGACCTACCCTCAGTCCTTGACCTAGGAAGACCACCCCTGTACCTGAGAGGTAATTTGTTCTTCATGCCTATTCATTCAGACCTTGGCCTTTCTATTGATTGCCACTATTGTGCTCAAATATATCAGTGATATGGGCAGTTGTCTACTTGGAAGCGGACTGAGACAACTTTTAGTAATTACAGATCATTGCGAGATTTGAACCAGTAATAACCTAGTAATGAAACACTTCATGTCTCATTACCAATTCCCTGAATCATCTAGTCCCCTATTTATTGTTTAGAATTAATTAGTCAGACATACACTTTTCAGCTAAGAAAACTGAAAGAGATCTGTTTATATTTCAAAAAGAATACATACTTTATGCTCCCATTTTTATTAAAGAATGTCAATATCTTGCAGTAAAATTTAAATTTTTGTAGTTAGCCTTTTAAAATGTAAATTATTTTAGATAAGGGATAACCCAGTAATAATCTTGCAATTAAGAATTTATTGCATGATACTGAACCACAAAAAAAAATCATATATGGTGCAGCAAGACTTAGCAATGACAAATCTGGAAGTCAGTGCAACAAAAGATTTATGTAAAGACATCTGAAGCATAAAATACTCTTTTTTTTATACAAATATTTTACATTTAACTGCTAATTCATTAACATGAGCTTATTCTGGTCTTTTGGGTAAGTACCCATTTTTTTAAATTGGCCAAAAATTTACTACTACTTTGAGTGCTTGCTCATGTCCATTCCACTGTAAGTGTGTGCTCACTACACGCACCGGGGCTGGAAGTTTTTCCCTCAGTGGTATCCACAGCGGATCGGCTCTGGCGCCATCTGGAGTGACGTGCATATGTGCCAGTATAAGGACCACTGCCACCCCCCATTCAGTTCCTTCTTACCGCCAGTGATGGTGCTGGAACATTCCCACCAGGGATAGCTCAGTGGTTTGAGCATTGGCCTGCTAAACCCAGGGTTGTGAGTTCAGTCCTTGAGGGGGCCACTTAGGGATCTGGGGCAAAATCAGTACTTGGTCCTGCTAGTGAAGGCAGGGGGCTGGACTCGATGACCTTTCAAGGTCCCTTCCAGTTCTAGGAGGTGGGATATCTCCATTAATTTATGGGGGGGGAGGGATAGCTCAGTGGTTTGAGCATTGGCCTGCTAAACCCAGGGTTGTGAGTTCAGTCCTTGAGGGGGCCACTTAGGGATCTGGGGCAAAATCAGTACTTGGTCCTGCTAGTGAAGGCAGGGGGCTGGACTCGATGACCTTTCAAGGTCCCTTCCAGTTCTAGGAGATGGGATATCTCCATTAAATTATAAATTCCATTGCCTTGGCAAGTTTTTGACTCTTCCAGTGTTGTTTCTAGTATTTTTTGCTGTATATAATTGTGGAGAGTAGTTTCTAGTGTAGTTCGTATTAGTTTCCTTAGTGTAAGTATAGAATAAGTTAATTAGTCTCCTACGAGACTTAGCCCAGGGACGGTGCATGCCCCAGTCCCTGGGCTTCAAGCCTTGTGAGCACTGTAAAAAAACCTATGTCCATCAGCAGTCCCCACCAAAGCTATCTGAAGTGCTTGAGGGAAACCCACATAAGCGACACGTGTCGCATTTGCAAAAGGTTTAAGCCGCACACCAAAAAGGAGTGAGACATTTGGCTTCGAGCGCTCCTTATGGAGCCAGCCAGATTGGACTCGGCTACAAGCACCTCTGCGTCAGTGCAGAGTGTGGCACCGGCCCTGACCTCCGAACAGCACCGATCCCCATCCCCACTACCTGCTAAGAAGCAGAAGAAACACACCGGGATCGGGCAGTCTCACATGTCTTGTAAAGGGAAAGAGAAAGCCGGAGGTGAGCAAAGACCCATGTGGGACAGCTGATCCCCTCTAGAGTGCAGCCAGGCTCCAGCATCACCGGCTGATCTATCGAGCTCCCTCTGGGACCTGCCCACCACCCTGGGAAGCAGCAGAGGCACCCGGCACCTGGCAGAGCTATCCACCCCAGAGGACGTTCAGGCTGCTTAAGGACATATTGTCCTTCCCAGTGCTGCTGATGCCTGTGATAGAAGTTGCCCGCTCGAGAGGCAATCCTGCCCTGGGGCCCTTAAAATGATTCCCATCTGCACGGCATCGCTCCCTGGCACCACCACAGGAGGCATCCCCCCAGCAGTCTCCAGAGCTGTGCTGTCTGCCCTCCAACACAAGCCAGCTGGCCTGCCAGAGCTCCCAGCACCACTCCCTGGACTCCAGGCACCATTCTTCAGAATCCCAGCGTCGTTAGCCAGCTATCTGGCACAAACCTCTCAAGGCACACCACCAGTCTGCAGAGGCCTGGCACTGGTCTCCTGAGTGTCTGCGTTACTCTCCAGACTCATGGCACCGATCCCTTGAGTCTCAACGCCGGTCTCTGAATCGACGGTACCGGTCTCCAGAGGCCCGATGGCAATCTCTGGAGTCATGATGGAGGTCTCTGCACTCCCGGTCACTGGAGCCCTGGCACCATTTCCAGAGTGTGAGGCATCAATAACCAGGCAACCATCATTGATCCACCAAGTGCTGTCACCGGAGACCCAACAACAAGTTCTGACTTCCTGGCACCGATCCCCAGGGGATGAGGATAGGGACAGCCAGCATGGAAAGGGCAAAGAGGCGGTAGTGGTACCACCAGGGGGGAGGGAGGGGTAGCTCAGTGGTTTGAGCATTGGCCTACTAAACCCAGGGTTGTGAGCTCAATCTTTGCGGGGGCCATGTAGGGATCTTGGGAAAACATCAGTACTTGGTCCTGCTAGTGAAGGCAGGGGTCTGGGCTCGATTACCTTTCAGGATCCCTTCCAGTTCTATGAGATAGGTATATCTCCGTGGTCCCCAAGATGAGTCTCTTCCTTCTCAGTCTCGGAAGCGAGGAGCTCGTAGTGCCCGTGGGCCAAGGTCACCTGCCGGTTTCATCGGGATTTCCCCCGGAACTGCCAACAAGTGCTTCGCCTCAGGGCCAGTGACGGCTCCATGGCAGTTCTGGAACCCTTGGGAGTTCCCTCAGATATTGGAGCTTGTGCAGTGATCAGTCTGATCACTGCTTCTGAGAAGCGATTGGCGACAGTTTCCCGTCCACCCTAGGACTCAGAAGAGGAGTTGGAGCAGAGTGTCCAGTGGTAGCCGGCCTCAGCCAAGGCTCCCCCGGCAGCGGAAACGGAGTTGGTCGACCCAAATCCTCATCCTCTTCACTTGATAAGCCATTGGCAGGGCCCTCCCATATGATTCCCCAGGACGATGTCAAAGCTCAGCAGGAGCTACTTAAGAATGGCAACGAATCTGGGGCTGGGGGTCGAGGAGTTGTCAGAACCTTCCGACACCCTATTTGACATATTGAGTGCAGCGGCCCCTTCTAAGGTGTTTCTGCCTGTCCACCAGGAGGTGGTAAAGTTAATCGAGGCCTTGTGGCAAATTCCCTCCTCCCCGTCCCTGCCCCGCCCCCCATCTCCAAGCGGGCGGAGGAAATACTATGTCCCAACTAAAGGCTTCAAATACCTTTCCACCCTCCCCTCCCTGAGCTCTTTGGTTGTATCCGCTGCCACTGAACTTGACAGGCAGGGCAACCTGCTTTGACTCCTAAAAACAAAGACGCAAAGAGGCTCGATATGTTTGGCAGAAAGATGTATTTGACTGCCGGCCTCCAATTGCGAGTGCCCACACACACAGCCCTGCTTGGCAGATACGATTATAACATTTGGCAATCTGTGGCCAAGCTTTTGGACTCTTTGCCAGAGGGCTCTAAGCAGGAGTTCCTGGGCATTCTCAAGAAGGGCAAGACAGTGGTGAGGGCTACTTTCCAAGCAGCCTCAGATGCAGTGGACTCTGCAGTCAGGACTGTGGCTTCGGCCGTGTCCATGAGAAGGGTGTCTTGGCTATAGTGGTCCAGGCTCCCAGTGGAGGTTCAGCAGTTGACCCAGGACTTCCCCTTTGATGGCCTGGCACTATTATCGGACCAAGCAGACAACAGATTGCATGGTCCAAAAGATTCCCGGGCTACGTTGTGCTCCTTGGGTCTTCACACGCCTGCGCCTGCAAGAAAGTGGTTCAAACTGCAGCAGACCCAGAGATTCGGGAGCCAGTCCAGGTTGGCGTGCTACCGTAAGACGGGCCAGGGCTATAAGTGCTGCCAGGGTCAATCGCTGACTACCTCTGCTCAGTCAGGCTCCACCCACCACCAGCCAGGTAACAAGCAGGCATTTTGAGGGTGTGCCCAACAGCAACCTCCCAGTCTGCAACTGGAATCCGATGCCTCTTTTATTTTCCAACCGTTTACTGCCCTACCTCCCTGCTTGGGCTTCTATAATATCAGACCAGTACGTGCTTAGCCCTGTGGCGGGGGAGTATACCCTCCAATTCCTTTTTATCTCTCCCTCCCTCCCTCCTACCCCCTCTTCAGGGACCCTTCTCACAAGCATCTGCTCGCTCAGGAGATTCAAGAACTCCTGTGGGTGGGAGCCATAGAGGAAGTTCCTCAGCATCTGAGAGGGAAAGGATTTTACTCCTACTGTTTTTTTATTCCAAAGGCTAAGGGGGGGTCTATGCCACATTCTCAACCTGCAAGACATCATCAAATATCTCAAGAAGTTGAAGTTCTGCATGGTCTCCCTAGCCTCCATCATCCCTTCCCTGAATCCTGGAGACTGGTACACTGCCCTCGACTTGAAGAATGCGTATTTTCATATTTCGATTTTTCATGGCTAAAGAAGGTTCCTACAGTTTGTAATCGGGCAGACCCATTACCAGTTCACAGTGCTCCCATTGGGCCTAGCGACAGCACCAAGAGTGTTAACAAAGTGCATGGTAGAGGTTGCAGCCTACCTCAGACATAGGGGTATCCAAATCTACCCATAGCTCGACAACTAGCTTATCGGGCCAGTCTAGGGAGCATGTCCAATGCAGTGTCGCGGTGCTACAAGCCATCTGCCACGCGCTGTGCCTGTTGATAAACTAACAAAAATCAACATTGGTCCTGGTGCAGAAGATAGAGTTTATTAGAGCAGTTTTCGACTCTTCCCAAGCCAGAGCTTTCCTGCCAGAAGCCAGGTTTGAGGCAGTGTCAGATCTGATTGCTCAAATCACTGCCCACCCACTCACTACAGCCTGGACCTGTCTCAGACTGCTAGGACACATGGTGGCATGCACTTATGTTGTCCAGCACACAAGACTACGCCTCAGACCCCTCCAGATGTAGCTGGCATCACTTGGATAAGCTCCTCACTATCCCGCCACGGGTACTCACTGCCCTGCAGTGGTGGTCCAACCTTGATCTGGTGTTGGAAGGTGTTTCGTTTGCGACTCCACAACCCACAGTGTCCCTGGTGTCAAATGCTTCTGACCTTGGTAGGGGAGCCCACCTCTGTACACTCAGAACAGACATCAGGTCTATGGTGTAGAGAGGAGCTGTCACTTCACATAAACATCAGAGAGTTCAGGGCCATCCACCTGGCTTGCTTAGTGTTCCTTCCCATCTCTCTGGTTGAGTAGTGCAATTATTGACAGACAACACGGCCTCCATGTTCTAAGTCAACAGACGGGGGAGCTCGATCATCGGCCCTTTGTCAGGAAGCCCTTCACCTGTGGGACTTCTGTATCCAAAATGCTATCCACCTGGAAGTCTCCAACTTCCCTGGCGTCCCGAACACTCTGGTGGATCACCTCAGCGGGTCCTTCTTCTCTCACCATGCATGGTCCCTCCACTCGGAGGTCATCAAGATGCTCTTTCAGAAGTGGGGAGCTCCCCAAGTGGACCTGTTCACCACCAGACAGAACAGAAAATGTCACCAGTTTTCCTCTCTGCAGGGTCTCGACAGTGGCTCGCCATCCGATGCCTTTCTCCTATCATGGACAGGTGACCTGATGTACACCTTACTGCCAATCTCACTGATCAGCAAAGTCCTCTTGAAGACCAAGAGGGACAAGGCGTGAGTCATTATGATCGCCCCGGGTTGGCCTCGCCAGCATTGGTTCAGCACGCTCATGGACTTGCCAACTGCCGGGACCTGCTCTCTCGGGATTATGGACAGTTACTGCACCTGAACCTCACCTCTCTCCACCTCACAGCGTGGATGCTGCATGGCTGAATCTTGAAGAACAAGCCTGCTCTAGTCAGGTCCAACAGGTTCTTTCAGAAAGCAGAAAGGCCTCCACCAGAGTGACTTACCTGGCAAAGTGGAAGCGCTTCTCTTGCTGGGTGTCGGAGCAGAATATCTTTCCAGTCCACTCGTCACTATAATCCTGGATTACCTGCTTCACTTAAAGCACCAGGGCCTTGCCTTTTCATCGATCAAGGTGCATTTGGCGGCCATATCGGTCTTCCACTCTTGCATCCAGGGTCGATCAGTATTCTCACACAAGAGGACAATCAGATTCCTGAAAGGCCTTGAAACACTTTTCACACTGGTCTGGGATCCAGTTCCCCAATGGGATCTCAACCTGGTCCTCTCCAGGCTCATTGGCCCTCCCTTCGAGCCTCTGGCTTCTTGCACTCTTTCACACCTGTAATGGAAGGTCTCATTCCTTGTAGCTATTACGTTGGCGAGGCGAGTCTCTGAGATTAAAGCTCTTACGCTGGAGCTCCCACACACGGTGTTCTACAAGGACAAGATAAAACTGTGTCCCCATCCAGCCTTCCTGCCAAAGGTGATATTGCAGTTGCATGTCAACCAGGGTATCTTCCTCCTGATATTCTGTCCAAAGCCTCACGTTTTCAATGAGGAGAGGCATCTACACACCCTAGACATCAGGCATGCGCTAGCCTTCTACCTGGAGCGCACCAAGCCCTTCCATACATCTACTCAACTCTTCATTGCGGTGGCTGATAGGATGAAGAGCCTTCCAGTGTCTTCTCAAAGGATTTTGTCCTGAATCACCACATACATCCGTACTTGTTAGGAGATAGAACAGGCTGTGCCCCCACCGATAGTGACAGCTCATTCCATAAGAGTTCAGGCATCATCAGCCGGTTTCTTGGCACATGTCCCCATCCAGGACATCTGCAGAGCTGTGATGTGGTCATCGGTATACACTTCATGATGCATTATGCCATCACCCAGCAGGCCAGAGACAACTCTGGCTTTGGCAGAGCTGTCTTGCAATTGACACTCCATGAACTCTATCCGCTCCGGAGGTACTGCTTGGGAGTCACCTACAATGGAATGAGCAAGCACTCGAAGAAGAAAAAACGGTTACCTTTCGTAACTGTTGTTCTTCAAGATGTGTTGCTCATGTCCATTCCATGATCCACTCTCCTTCCCCTCTGTTGGAGTTGCAGCAAGAAGGAACTGAAGGGGAGGCCAGTTGTGAGAGCACCAGAGAGCAATCCCCTATGGATGCTACTGAGGAAAAAACTTCCGGCACCGGTGCATGTGGTGAACACATACACCTACAATGGAATGGACATGAGCAACACATCTCAAAGAACAACCAGTTACAAAAGGTGAGTAACCAGGGATTTTTTTATATTCTTCCATTAAAGAACAAATTTTTTATTTTAAAATTTCCATGGATGTTTGGTTCTCACAGACCTGACAGAGTAATATATCAGCAGTGGTTGTGCAAGCTTTCCCACACACTTTAATCTAAGTCTGCAACAGGTCTAGCTGTTTCAGTCCTAGGCTACTAGAATTGTGTGGTAGTTTTACAAAGAAGTGTGTGGTAGTTTCACTTATGACATGTAACAAGTTATGAAGCCAGGCCTCCAGAGTCTATGGCTAGTTCATTAACCCATTGCGCTACCTAGCTCTACTTTTGAATAAGAAAACAAATATAAATTCTAATCAACATACTGAGTGTGAAAATAAATGTCATACTTTGTTGTCCCGTGTTGTGTTATTTTGAAGCTTTACTATCATGAAGGTTAGAATATTTTATGCTCACATTTCCACCATATCAAAAAGAGCTGTTCCTAAATTAATCTTCAATAGAAAAACTCAGATTGGTAATGTGGCTTTTCTAATATCAGACTTACTGTGTTTAAAAACTCCATAAAGCTTCTTTATGCTGTTTGAATGTAAATTAAACACACTTGTGGTACGTTTCAGACCTTGTTGCTGAGGTCCCTGAGTCCCTTATGAAGCTAATGGAAGATTTGACTGAGGCCTGGTCTCCACTGAAAAGTTAGGTCAACCCAGCTACATCGCTTAGGGGTGTAAAAAAGAAAATCCACACACCTGAGCAATGTAGTTAAGCTGACCTAACCCCCGGGGTAAACAGCGTTTACTGTTTACTGGGTCAAGAATTCTACCGCTTCTCAGGAGGGTGGATTACCTACACCAACAGGAGAACCCCTACCATTGCTGTAGGGGGAGTATCTACACTGAAGCACCACAATGGTGCAGCTATGCTGCTGTAGCATTTCAAGTATAGACAAGCCCTGAGTAAGAACTCAGGGCCAAATTCAAGAAGGTCTTTATGTGCATATTTGAGTTAGTCCATTGAAATCAGTGGACTAACTCAAATGCTTAAAGTTATACACATGCATAAGTACCTTGCTGAATCAGGGCCCCACTAAGAATTGTTAGATTTGACCCTTTGTGGTATATAAATGGTGGTGCAATCTGTCCTAGTCATTAAGGCTGAAGGCCTTATAATTGAAGTAGAATTAAGCTAATAGTAGCTTATTCTGCAATTAAAAAAAATCTTTACCTCAGAATGCACCGAAGAAAGGAAAAGTGGATACTTTTGTAATAAACCCAAAGTGTGTCAGTGTTGGTGAGCTGTATGGACAGACTGATCCTAATACTATGGAGTGGTCTGATGGATTATTGGCATCAGCAGTTCGAACATTTGCAAAACATTCAACAAAAAAATCTAAAAAAATGGAGGCAAACACTGATGCAGCTACAAGAATACAGGACGCTTACACGGTGAGTTCAGTTGTTATTTTAATGATTATAAGGAATATGTTAGTCTTGCATGACCTAATGTTTACTTGTAAATTGGGCCAGCTGTAGGGTTTTGAGAGTCTGGCAAGGCTATTATTTGGGCTCTCTACCCCCTAAACCTCTCCTTTCACCGCAATAATCCTCTTCTTTCCTCCTTATTCTTTCCCACCAAGGAGGATAGCCAGCAGAATGTCAATTGATGCTCTTTTGGCCAAATTTTATTCCCACTGAAATCAGTAAGAGGTTTGCCTTGACTATAATGGGATCAGGATTTGGCCATCAGAGAGCTGCAGATCCTAATCACATGTAGAATTTGGGACTGTCCCACAAATTTGGAAGCCTCCAAAAAAAAAAACAATTACCCTGTTTTAGATGCAAGCATTGTTGGTTCCAAAAGAATCTTTGCTTTTAAATCTTCAAGCTGCTATGTTTAATAAATGAAATTTGTGCTGCAGAACTCCCAGCCCCGTGGGGGCCTGCCTAAATTGTGGCAGCCTTCTGGGGCTTTCCTATGGGCTATTGCACTGCCCAGAACCTTGGCAGTACTCTGTGCTGTGGCCCTGCCCCTGACATGCCCTTACACCAAAACTTGTTGAGGGGGTTTTGGAAGGAAACTTTACAGCTTTGTTCCTTAATTCTTGTACTAAAGGAATCTTCTCACAGCCCAAACGGGGACTTTTAAAGCTCCTTTAATCTTTGGTCCTTTTAACTTGTATAGAGAGGATGGGGTGGGGTTGAAGATCTTACCAAATATACTTCTGGCCCAATCCTATGGGTAAAATACTTTGTGGCTTATTGCTGTGTTCAAAGAAGTTCCTCTGAAGGGTAGCAAGTCCTGAGCTAAAGCAGCAAATACTATATACAATGGAGAAGTCAGAAATGCATTTATATATCTGGTCATATGTGATGTGCATGTTTTCTGCATGTGCTGTGTTTTGCATGAGTCAGTGATATGGAGCTAGTAATAAGGGTTTGTACATGTGCATAGGGGGCTTGCTTACAGTTAACATTTTTTGGCAGTTGTCATTTCTTGCATTTGGTAAATATTTTTGAAAACCAAACACAAGAAATGTAAATTAGTAAATCTAGAGGTAGAAATTAAAAAGCTCCCCACCTCACTCCAAAGTTAAAAATTTGAAATAAACTATTGCTGCATCGCTGTTGAGATTGAAGCCATTAATCCTTCAACTGCATGACTCTAGTTTGCAGGATCTCCAACTTCCACACATATAACAAGTTATCTCAGTTGGCACAAGAATCACAAATCTAAGGGAATAGATGGACTCTCAGATTTGTGTATGTTACTTTCCTGAGCTGAGTGCTATTATATATTTGTATATAAATTTATACATGGTACAAGTATATTTTATCTCCTAACACAAGTAACTGCATAAGGCCAATTCCTCCTGGTCTGAAGGTGAAGTAATCAGTAGGTTTGAATGGCTGAAAAACAAGAAGCCTGGAATCTAGCCCAAAGAGTATCTCTTTTTTTTTTTTTTTTGCTTTAACCTTATCACCTCCAACAGATCCTACATTTCTAGCGTCTCTCTGGTGCACTTCAGGTGCACTTGTGCCCTTGGCCTTTGATCAGAGATTTTTGGTAGCAGTGCCCATTGTGCTCACGAATGTGCCCACACAACTTCATGCTCTGCCCTGAACTTATATGAGGTAAACCACCCTCAGTTCCTTCTCAACTGCCTTTGGCCCAAGACAGAGTCAGCACTTCCTTCAAGGCTATGTCCCCTTCTCTCCCCCCACCCCCCGCCAAAAAAATAGAAATTAAGCTTAAACTACTAGAGATGGAGCAATCTTTACATCCAGCTTTGGATCCAGAAGCAGAGGACCTTCCTGTACACAGACTTCCCAATACAACTAGTGCTCTGTCCACATCAACATCTCAGTCACCAGAGACCAGTGGAGAGAGAGGCGGTACTGCAGCACCAAGTACATGTACAGTACCAAAGTCCTCATTTACATCTGTCTCTAAGCAGAAGTAGGTAAGGAATGAATCTTAATAACAATCTCGATCACCATCTTACGAGAAGGCTATAGAAATCTCAGGTCCCAAGGGGAGTTCAATGCAGGCTCCAAGTGAGACTGGTACTGCAAAGGCAAAGAGTAGTCAGACATCTAAGATAGACTTGGTACTGAGTTCGGATACCTGTACCCAGATCGGCAGAGACAGGGTTGAAAAGACCAGCCTATCCCTGAACAATAATCAGTACCTATAATAAGAAAATCAACACTACCAAAGACTGCTCACCTATCTACAATACTGAGGAAATCCCATTCCAAGTGCTTAGTACCAGGTGGATCAGTACCAAAGCTGTCCTCCACAGGTTCCCACTCAACTCAATCTTTGATGGCATCAGTACTGCAAGAGTTTAGGTACCCTATGGATCTGGAAAATATCTTCTGAGCCAGAGTCTCCTCTCTTAACAAGTGAAGGCTTGTCAGTGTCAAGACTCTCCCAGTCACTGATCCCTCTGTCACCCAGAGCATCACACTGGCCCTTATCTACTCTGGAAGCCAAACAGCTGTCTCCCCCCCTTAGAGTATGTAGAAGAGGACTCATCAGACTCTCAAATTTTGGTGCAAATTTCCCCTACCGATTTTAGGTCACATCGCTGTCCCTCCTAAACGGATGTATTATAGGAGGATAGACCTAAAATGACTCCCACATGGCAGGTACACAGATGGCTGCTTCCACCTATGCCATTTGGGCCTTGCTGGGAGCTGTGGGAATTCTATCACCAAAAGTTTATCTCAAGGTCCTCGCAACTCCAGAGGGAGCAGAGAAGAGCCAATTCTTCTCAACCCCCTTTACCACCACTTATGCTAGAGGAAGAGATCTTTGAGGAACAAGACATAAGGACTAATAAGGATAATATTTCCTCATCATCTCCTGGTGTAGCTCTCATGCCTCCACCACCTTCTATGGTGGATGACTTAAGGAAGTTTCACAAGCTGATGGAGCGGATTACTGACACTGCAGATTCCATTGGAGGAGGTTCAAAAGTCCCACCATAAACTCCTAGATATTTTACGCACTTCAATATCTATGAAAAGTCCTATTCCAGTCACTGAAGCTCTTATGGAGTCTGTTAAGACAGTTTGGCAAACCGCTTCTGCCATAGTGCCTACCTGCAAGAGGGCAAATAAAACCTATTATGTTCCAGCTATGGGATTGGAATTTCTATTTTCTTCACATGCTATTTCCCTGATGAAAGTCAGTGACTAGCTTGTGTTGTTTTAACTTCCAGGTATCTCTGGAACCTTAAGCTCCTACCAAGCTGATCTTCTGTGGTAGTAGCGGAGGCAGACAACATAACTCAAAGTCCACACCACTCAGTAAGGACCACAAGAGGCTCAGTCTTTTTGGTCATACTGTATAACCTCAGAGTTATAAACTAATCAGTTAACCACACACCTCATTTGGAACTGGAAGTACACAATCAGGCAGCAGCAGAGACACTCAAAAATATAGTACAATACTGTGTTAAATGTAAACTACTAAAAAAAAGGGAAAGCAGCATTTTTCTTCTTCATAGTAAAGTTTCAAAGCTGTATTAAGTCAATGTTCAGTTGTAAACTATTGAAAGAACAACCATAATGTTTTGATCAGAGTTACGAACATTTCAGAGTTATGAACAATCTCAATTCCTGAGGTGTTCGTAACTCTAAGGTTCTACTGTAAATCCTACACTTCAGCCACACTTCAGTTCAGGATAGCAATCCAAATGACTCATGGCCAAATATGACTATTTAAATGATAACAAATTCAATTCTTTTGTTGAGCATCTGCCAGAACAACATCAGGACCAGTTTAAGTCCATTATACGAGATGGTCAATTCCTGGCAAAGACATTGCTCCAGGCTTCCTTAGATGCAGCAGTATCTGCTGCATGGGCTATCTCCACTGCAGTGGTCGTGAGAAGAGCATCTTGACTACAGCTGTCGGGCTTTACAAGAGTGGTTCAGAGTACTGTCAAAGACCTTCCGTTTTACAGTCTTTGTGGACTTTGAGGACTTGACGGATACAACTCTCCACACTTAAAAGGACTCAAGAGTCATGCTGCAATCTCTAGAGATTTACATTCCTGTAAATAAGAGGAGATTTAGTAGTTCTCAGATGGTGCAAGTAGCATGCCCAGCCCCATATTCAACATATCATAGACCCTCTGAACCCCTGGCCAAGAGACAAAAAAAGAAACCACCTTCAGCTACATCTCCTCCAAGTGACAGTTTTGATGGCTTGGTCGAGAGTCTCAGCCCTCCAGTTGACAAGGTCTTACCAGCTGCAACATCTTACCCTCCTTTTCAATGCCTCCTTTCCCTTTTTCAGGATGCATGGGAGCATATGTTAGCTTACTGAGAGCAGGCAGCAGGCCTAGGGCCTGGGGTCAGAGCCATAATCAGTCATTGGGAAGCAAAGCCAAGGGTCAAACCGGAAGGCAGGAACTGGGTACCAAAGCCAAGGGTTGAGCCAGAGTCCATAGTCAGGAGCCAAAGCCAAGAGTCATAAACGGAGGTCAGGAACTGGAGCAAGCAAGATATCAGACAAGGTGGGGTTCAAGGCAGGGGGCAATGCAGGAACAGAGTAACGCAAGAGCAAGCACAGTGTGCATTGAGAAGCCAGTGAGCTGCTGCTAGCTTAAGAGCCAGCCTGCTGGCCTCTGCAGCCAATCAGATTGCGTGGCTAATCAGGCAGCCTGTTGCACTGATGACGCTGCCCATAGACTACCTCTGTTGCAGGCTGTGAGTCCTGACTGCATATAACATGAGGCAAATGGGTTTTGGAAGCCATAACATCTGGTTACACTATCCATTTCAAATCTATCCCTCCTACTTCTCCCCGCCCCCTTCCCTCTTCATCCTGTCTTACCATCAATTGCTAGAGCAAGAGGTGACCTCTCTTCTAAGTTTAGGAGCAATAGAACCAGTTTTTGCGCAATACTGGGGAAGGAGATTCTATTCAAAGT